AGCAAGAACCTGAGAAGTGAGCGTTTACCGAGGCTAATCAGAATTAGTGAGAGGTACCTGCAACCCAGCTTCACACAAGAGCTGATACCCAGCAGGCATCAACGAGAAAAGGAGTGAGAAAGGGGTTTTACAGGTGAGCCATAACGAGTTGTTTCTAGGTTCATACGCAGGGGAGGGGAGAGAAAAACCCCTGAACTTTTGTACCATACACTGTACAGTAAAAAGGCATCATTTAAAATCCTTTTCACTCTCACTCTCTTTTTGGGCACTTCACTGATTCGGTTGATAGATGGGGAGTTCCAGTTCTACTTCTTGCCTCCAGCAAGACAGGTAAAATACTCGGGACACCCATCCTCAGAGCTCTCCTGTACTCAAAGAGATCTCAATACACACCACGAGGGTTGGAACCACAACATCTTGCAGGACATAGCCCTGCCCTAGCCACCAGCTTGTCAAAACTCAAATCGCACATACACGTGCACATACACATATATAAAATATATATCTATGCACACATATATATGCATATAAAAAAGCTGGAATTACCGTTGTGAGCGATACAAAGAAAATACATGATACAAACCAAATGAAAAAATAAATATACTCTGTGCACAGAAAAGCTTCTGCGCAAAGGTGGCACCTTGCAGGTCAAGTACTTTTTTGAAGCTCTCTGTAAATAAGGCAAAAGCAATGTTTTCTGCATCACTTTCCTCCTTCGCCCATGTCAGCTGCTCACAGGAGGAGGGAAATCAGGGAAACCCTCCTCTTGCCAGACTCCCGGCATAGCTTGTAGTCCCTACACTCGTATTGTTCGCACGATAACGACTTTTACAGTTTGGTTTATCCAAAAATGCAGACTATTTAGGAAAAATAAGGACATAAGCAACACTCCTACTTTTGTCCCGTGGTTCCCTGGAGTCTGACAACGCGATCTTCCCTTGGGCGCACGCTCACAGAAGTCGTTTTCACAATCTGCTAGAAAGTGTCACTGGCAAAGAGTTACCTTGGATCTAGACCGTTCGTACTAGAGCTGCAAAGAGGTCCAGTGTCAAGAAGTCTCTTCAGTTTTTCTAGGAAGGAGAGCCACGGGTCTCCCCCACCCTCGCTGCTTACCATATATGAGATTCACAGTGTGTCATTTTGATAACTCCTACGCCTCCTCCCAGCCGCCGATAGTTCATGCCTCCGTACAACCTGCAAAGACAAAGCTCCAGTGACCACAGGTTCAGCTCCTTCATGGAGCTGCTGTGGGAAAGAATGACCCAGCCCTTGTTCTTGCTTCTTCTCGGCCTTCGGTTAATGTGGACCACAGTCACTAAGCAGGGCAGCAGTCTTTGTACACACTTCCAGGGTAAATATATTTGCTCACCTCTCTCTAGAAAAAAAACAGAATTTGCTTCTTGGTTGGATGCTCAGCAGTTCTGTTTCTTAAGTAATCACTTTTTGCCTCATTCCATGCAAGACAGAAAAGATCTTGGTTGGTTGTAGTTTATCCTGGGGTACATTTGGGGTAACACAGGAACAAGGAGTCGCTCTTTCCAATTAAATTAATTTCTTTAACGTTCCTGATAACCTATTTTCAGCTCTCACTCAAGATTTAGCACATCCCAAACACCATCTGTTTCTCCAAGATATGTTACTGAAACAGTGTCTGCATTTCATATGGAACTCTGCTCCCTGTGGACTCCAGCACCCTCCTCTCTTCAGCTCCATGTTCCTCTCGGTGTCTCTACAATCTGCTGGCAGAAACACCAGAGGCAAGTTCTTCAAGTAACTCCTTCCAATGCCACTTGTTAAGCCCAAAATGCATAGCAAGTAGTTGGACTACACAAAAGAAACCCTTCCTACAGCAATAAGACCAACAAACAACCAAGGAGGACCACAATGCCAATCAACTATATTGAATTCAGTAGGGAAAACACAGACTAATACCTTGAACAGCTGCCTAAACTTCTGCCCAGGCAGTAACCCCTAACTCTGAATACTTTAGGTACCATTAGAGTTGCTGTAAGTAGCTGAAATCTCTCAGCTAAGGAATCTGAAATGCATATTGCTCTCTACTCAGCTGGTTTTCTATGCATTTCAAAAAGTATTGGCCACAAATCAGCATACAGGTGCATCTTCCTACTCAGTTTATGACAGATTATCTCATCAGAAAAGGGTTAATTTTCTAGTATCACTAATCTGGAAGGAATAAAGATATTAATTTCTTGCTAATCCGCACACGTGACAGATTACTAAAAGAAAGAATATAAATAAGAGCTTGAAACTCTGCACTAATTAGAATTGTGAATAAGTATGCAGACAATTGCTTTCAAGTGCAGTTATACCTGGAAAAGAAACAGGAAGAAAAAAAAATCTTCCCGTTCAATACACATTTTCCCATCAGGAAACGTTCAAATTGTTCTGTTTCAGCTCTTCCAGAAATATATGGAAATCAGAGTCTCAATTTGAAAACCAAAAATGAGCAGGCTGAATGCTACACCATGACAGTGAGCTCCTCCTGCTAACAGTAAGTTTATTTTTTTTGGGAAGCAAGAGCAGACTCAGTCCAAAATAAACATAAGGGGTAGATCTGTTTCAGTGTGGCCCAGTTTCTAAGTTCAAAAGCAGCACTCAAACATTTTTGCATTGTCTTTTGTTTGTTACCCAGCAAACTTGTCAAGTCATTTATTTTCTCCAAGTCTCAGTAACCTACCTATGCAGCATTTTCCTACCTGCAAAAGATGCAATGAGACTTTATTTCCTAAATGATGATTAAATTTGTTGATATCCTCAGATGGGGGGGAGGGCAGGGGACAACAACAAAAAAATCACTATGGAAAATACATTTCTGTTTTACTTAAAATGGAGTGGATGGCTAGAACTAGAATTGAAGCAAATTCAAGCAGAAAACTGCAAGAGTGTTTCTCAATAGCCCATTACTCCAAAAATCATAGGGTGCCAAACCTAGATGGTGTATTGGCTTACTGAAGTCTTGGATTTCTATCCATGATTACATGGAAAAGTCATTTTGATGATGAGGGGCTCTGTCTCCAAGCACCACTTGCATTCATAAATACCAACCTAACACAAGGTTGATATTCAGTGAAATGCTGTAAATGGCAAGTATTCCTTTTATGTAGTTATTTCTCAGCCCTGAATATCAGAAGTAATGAAAAGTGGAGAGCTGAAGGAAGTTAACCACTTCTCAGGTTTTTAGATGAGGATTCTCTTTCATGCACTTTCATGCAAGCCAACAAGCCACACCACGACTACCACACTGGCTGCTGCACCCAAACTCCTTACGATGTCACACTTCACATTTCTAGCCTGTCTGGAACAGCTCCAAACACTGGCTGCATTGAAGCAGCCACAGCCAGAAAATGTTATTTGACCATTTCACAAACTTAAGGTTACCTCCACGTGTTGGCATCTGGATCAAACACCTCAATGGTCTTCAAGTACGTTGTCCCATCAAAACCCCCCACTGCCATTAGCTGTCCATTCACCACGGCGAGGCCCACCTGGAAAATAACCATCAGAGAGCACTTATTTAGCTGGGATGTTTACCATATTCTGAAACCAAGGGTTAAAACGGAAATATTGAAGTCTTCAATAACCAAATTTGGGGAAAGACATGCAGCAGAGGTTTCTGTGTGGAAGAAAAAGGATAAACAAAGTAGTCTATAATATACCTAACTAGATGCATCAATAGCTTCATTTAGCTAGAACATACTGGTACAGGATGACACCTAAGCTAAAATAAAAACGGAGTGAAAGGTAGACGTAGATCACAAAAAAAGAGGATCTTTTAGAGAAGGGGGGGAAAAAGAAAGAAAGGGCTCCCTTTATTACCAGTTACAAAGTTACTGAAATCTCAAGCTGTTCTGTGGTCTTGGAAACCACTTCCAGTGAAAACACCCCAACACAGCACAGAAATAAGGCCGGAACGCTATGCAAAAGGGTTTTTGTTTTGGTGTGGAGGAAACTAAAGAGAACTCAGGAGGTCTACCGAAAAAGATGCATCTATTTACCAAATTCTACAAAAAGCAAACATGCTTGTGAAAAGTCAACACCTGACCTGCAATTACAGAGGACAACGTTGAACTGTGTCCACATGCTTTGATGAGGAAAATAAATACATGTTCCATGTCCCCCAAAATAAGTTATGAATCAAGTTATGATTCATAGTTGCTTCAGACACCGAAATACTAATGTACAGACAGAATTAATCAACTCAGTACTATATAATTCCATGTCCAATGTTAAATATTCATAACATTTGCATCTGCCTAGACACTAGGACTGCTTAAACCGCTCTGTTAATCTTTTGCTCATTTGTCTGCAGAAAGCAGGAGGATTAGCAGCTGATGAAGACATGCTGCCATTCCCCACACGATACTGTGAGGAGGCAACATTCTAGATAAGAGGTTGGAAACTCTTAGTTTCCCCAGAGCAGGCACAGCTACTTCCCCAAGTGAGAAATGAAAGAATTCGTCTGTTTCAGGCCCAAGTAGCTGTATCAGCACAAGGGACCAAAATTATTTTAAAAAGACTCAAAAATGACTAGATTAATGGATACTTAACACATCCTGTGACACATTATAGAGCTGACAGCCCGGGGTATGACACCGCTAACATCTCACTCTCCTTTGCCACAGGGTTTTGCCTTTTTTACAAACATTTCCCTCCTAGAGAATGCGTGAAGGTACAGGGGAAGCAAGACAGAGGGTATGACACCACTAACATCTCACTCTCCTTTGCTACAGGGTTTTGCCTTTTTTAACAAACATTTCCCTCCCAGAGAACGCGTGAAGGTACAGGGGAAGCAAGACAGGAATCTCACAAGCCGATGGCCTATGGAGCATCGTTAAGCACCGTGTAAGCAGGCAAACCAAGCCAAGACTCACCCCGCTCCGGCGGGACGTCATGGCCACAACGGGAGACCACTGGTTGGTCCGGGGGTTGTACCTCTCCGCGCTGCTGAGCTCGGTCGTGTCGTCCCGGCCCCCCACGGCGTAGATCATGTCCTGGTACACGGCGCAGCCCAGGTGCTTCCTCCTCGTGCCCATGGGGGCAATCGTATGCCAGCGGTTCTCCTGAGGGTTGTAGCGCTCCACTGTGGAGGAAAAGACACGGCTTTGGACAACAAGGCTGGTGGAGCAGGGGGAAGTCGCATTATTTTTTATCTTGCATTGCTAAACCTGTAAAACACTGCAATTCCCCACATGCTAAAAATAAGATGTACCAGTTTGTGATCACCCACTCCAATGCTCTCCTGCTTTAAAAGTCTGCCTGTTCCCTCTCCTGTCTCCAATCCCTGGAAGGCTACATAGTCCAGTCACATAATGCATCTTCGCTCAGGAATGAGTTGGTCAATGCTACAAACTGATCTGCATTTTCATCTTGCAGCAGTGTGGCCTACAGCATCCTCCTTCCTATAGCATAAGGGCTACTGCAAGAAAAAGATGCACTTGCAACTGCTCAGCAAATGAGTAAAGCATTGGCTTCAGGACACACTGTCAGATGTGGCTTCATTGAGAGAAGGGAAAAGAAGAAAAAAAAGACATATACAACAAGGTAATAAGGTATTAGAAACCTAGAGAATGAATTACTCTATAGCAAAATTACATTAAAGAAGGAAATGTATAGCAAACTGCTCACTAAAATACTCACCTGCCATCCAGGAATTAGAGACACAACAAAACAAGACCATGGCAAGTATGACTGCGGTGAGAGACAGCAAAGTGCATACCAGTGTTGAGAGGAGATGTTCCATCAGAGCCTCCCACTGCATACAGGAAGCCTCCTAACACGGCCACTGCCACTCCTAGGCGCCTGGTGCTCATGGAAGCCACACGAGTCCACTTGTTCTCTTTTGGATCGTACCTGAGGAAACGATAAAACACTCAACTAGTCACAGACATCTTCACAAAGGGTCAGGCAGACTGTCCTTGCTTGTCTCCAAACAATAATCCCCATGAAATCTGTACAGCATTTACCTCCCATTCTAAAGCTCATCTGCATCTTACCAAGAGATCTTGCTCTCCCTCTGCCCCACTTTTTCTTTTTTGAGATACCTTTCCACAATGTTGAGACAGGAGACACCATCTTGGCCACCCACAGCATAGAGATAGCCCCCAAGAACTGCCACTCCAACGCTGGTCCTGCAGGTGCTGGTGGGGGCCACGTCACTGCTCCACTGGTTGGTCTTCGGATCGTATCTAGGAAAACACACCAAACAACACAAGTTGCTTTTCTAGGAAAGTTTCAGACTCCTGTGCTTAGAAACTACTGGGGCAGCGGAATTTGCCTATCTTAAGCCTGAACTGCAACACAGCTATTTAGAAGGAAGTTGGATAAAGGCCCTCAGGCAATGCAATGCATCCAAGACATGTTATTCCAGGCATTCCAAACTGCAGTTTGAGATGATTCAAATTGAGGATCAAAGCCACAGGTTCATAAAAAGCAGGTTACCAAGCCAGGCTGACGTGTGGCAATTTGCCTCTGTGCAACCAGCAGCACCAAGAGCTACTCTGCTGCATATTCTCTGTAGCCCACACCAGAGCTCACAGCACCAGGACCGGCACTTCTAGACCACGATGAGCCAGCTGGACTGGCTTGGGAACCCAGAGACTGGGAAGTAAAGTAGAAAATAAATGCAGGACATGGAGGATGTAAGGCCTGCATCCTCATCTGGGAAGCTGGGAATATGTAAAAAGGTATGTGGAAAGAATGGGTGGTTTGGTAAAAAAGAAGATATTTTTACAGCTGATGGATTTTGTTGGAGGACCGAGGTTTAGAGCACTAAGAATGCACAAGTCTCGGGGCTCAAAGGCACGGGGGGGACTCTCAACACACAGCTCCCAAAAGTAGGAAGTTTAACAAAGCTCGTTCAACTTGCATCTTTCAGAGGTCTAAATCTGACCCATTTTCCTTCTTCTGTAAAAGTATTTACAAGGTTCCTTAATTCTCTAGTCCCCATTCCACAACAATACGCTCAAGTGCTTTCCTTGAGCATTAAGTAACACATGCCGTAACCTCAGCTTCCTCAGCAATGGTAAGAACAAACCAGCAATTTCAAAAGAAGGTTAACCAAGACCATCACTCCTCCTAGCACTTGCAGTGAGACCTACCTCTTAAATATTCCTTCCTTATACCAAAACTATGCCTTGGCTCATTAAGCTGAGGATAACATGACACAAGCTGTTATGCCTGAAGTCCTAGTTTAGCAGTACAGCAATACAATATTGAGGAGGTAGGCAAAGGAGGAGGAAATGGAGACAGCATTAATATAAATGTCAGGTTTTCAGTAACATGGCTGGCAAAATGGATCAATTTTTTGAGAGGTTACACCAGGTTTAAATGCTCAGAGTAAACACTCAGAGTAGCAGCCCTATGGAGACCTACCTTTCTACACTGTTAAGATAAGAGGAACCATCATGGCCTCCCACGGCATAGAGGAGGTCATCCAGAACACTGACTCCAACACCACAGCGTCTTTTGCTCATGGAAGCCACCATCCGCCACTCATTGGTTTGAGGATCATAGCGCTCCACACTGGAGATTGCATCCCCGCTACACCAGCCCCCCACTGCAGGAACCAAAACACAAGAAACAGGGTCATGATGATGCATCACGTTCACACACGTGGGTGAGCCTGCTCTGAGGGATTCCCCTGTGCTTGGCCAGCCCTAACCCACCTCTCAGGGTCCCTCATCCTGAGGACCACCGTTACAAGACCAAGTGCCACTTTCAAAAGGACTAGTCTAAGTTTGGAAGGATTACTCTACAAAAATTAAAACCACTAAGTAATGTATATATCACCCCAGAAGGAAGAATTTGTAAAGTCTGCTCTTACAGGAGTACTATAACCAGAAAACCCATGGATTTAAATCTCCTAAGCCAGCAACAGCTGCACGCACCTGCAAAGAGCACCTCTCCGCAGCGGATGGGTTTGCGTGGTCTTGTCCTTGGTCCCTGCATCAGTGGCCGCTCTTGGGGCAACAGCAGATAATTTTTAGCTTCATCCACTAGGTCCCTGTGCAAGACAGGAATATATTAATTCCAAATGTTCACACAACGGGGGTCTCGAGAGAAGGCACAAATCAAAACTGACAGTAAGAGCAGCCAGCACTAGTCATGCACTTCGGTTATCCACAAACTACCTAAGTGCATGAATAGCTCTAGTTCAAACATACTCTGTCACCCAAATGGTCATCAGTTGTTTACAGTGACACAGACGTAGACCAGTATCAGTATTTGGCCAGTGTTAATATTACATATTACGAGCAATAAACACTGACAACAAGACTGCGCGGGAGATTCATCAGGCTTACAATGCAGAAAAGAAAAACCCAGTCTGCCTCGAGCTAAAACTTAATGATTTTGCCTAAAAACAAGAAAGTTAAGAGCACACATATACATAATACACACACAAGACCAAGAGATGGAGATACTACCCTTCTGATGATTATTTTATCCATCAGCTCTGGCCATCTCACATTGTCCATCCATTCATGACTTGTCACCTGGACTAATGCTAATATTCCAAACCCTTGAATAAAACAAAACAAAAAAGAAGAGAATCCTCCTTCCCTCAACAGACATGGAATTCCTCCAAGGGTAACTCTTATTCAGAATGAGAACAGCTGAGTGTCCAGTGAGCAATTTTACAGGAAGCACAACAAAAATTGAGTGCTTTACAGATAACAGAACTGCACATAACCAGAAAGGCAAGACTTGCACTGTAAGAGAAGGAAATTACAGCTTTCCTGCACTACCATTGTGGGAAGTAGCAGATTCCAGCCCCAGAGCTCTTTCGCTTGTCAAAAGCAGGATATTTCAGATATGGAAACACCACTTTAAGCCATGGCAAGATCACAAATGCCATGCGAGTAGTGGGATGTACTGAATGGCCATGACTACAGAAACAAAAAGCGTGAAATGGAAAAAAATCCACAGAAAGATATTTTACCAGGAGTCAAATTGTATACTCAAAATTTGCTATTTCACTGAAAACCTGAAAAAAAAAAATCTCTTCTTCTCCCAGTTGCAAAGAGGAAACACTCATTTACCATTGGCAATTTAACACAGTTTTAAAGAACAGACACAAATAAGGCACCCACATACAATGAAATCCCACTCTGCAAATCAGTGAGAAGATTTACCGGCATTCTTCATCGCTCTTAATAAGAGGGTCAGAGCCCACAGTACCCACAAGGAATTTGGGACTCAGCAGCGGCAGGCGGACGTGCTGCAGGACCTACAACACACACACACAAAACAACAAAAAAGCATCACTAAAGATAAAATAGACAGTCTCGGAGATATAAGGAGAAGCCAAACAGAAATATTCAGCTATTTAGTTGCAGACTAGCAAGTTTTGATAAACAATTCTTCTGGCAAACCAAGAGCAGGACCACTTAGACAGGCAAACTGCCACTCTAGTTGTCTAGTGCATCAATTCAGACAGTCAAAGCCTCGTCTTTTAAATGGGCCAATTCACTGAAAAGAAGCTATCAGCTGAAAACCTTTGCAAAACTGCAGATGCCAATACATCTGCCTGAAACACTAGCTTGCTTAGGAGTTTTATCATCAATTAAGAGTTGTTTAGCCCTCTTAAATTTAAGTGGTATTGTATAATAAATGAAAGATAATAAATAACATCCCTTTCACAAGAGCTTAGACTTTAGAGACATAATCAGCTATACACAGAGGGATCTACAAAAGGCAGAACTGTATGAGTACTAACAAGCTAGCTTGAGGAAAACAATTCCTTTTTAACAATTTTCAAAAGCTTTCCATTAAATAAAGTTGTGCTTAACAGCCATTTCCAAAGCAGAAAAGCCGAGGCAGACAGTCTCTCACCTCTTTTGATCAGAAAACCTGAGACTTCAGAAGCTTTTTTTGGATGACAGCTTTGTCAGAATGGATACATCTTTCTGAAATGCTTTGGCTTTAGACAAAACATCATCTTTCAACAAAAGCATTCTGACAATCTCCAGTATAAGATCATAAGGGTTGAGGCATAAATCAACGAGCAGAGGTTAAAAATATACCTCGAATGAAGCTTTTTTTTTTTTTTTCCCCCCTCTCTATTCCACTATCTTTTTTTGTACAGCACCCTAAACAACACAGGCGGGTTTGTCTGGATTGACTGCTGGAACGATCTTGTTTGGCAAGGCCTACCTGGAAACCATTCAATAAAGCCCCTACTGCAGCGTCTGGCTGCTGCTACCTTCAGCCTAGATGAAGGGCAAAATAAAAGTCTGCCAACCCGTATGGAAATCAGGCAGAATCACAAAATGCACTCAGAACAGTGACACTGCTGTGGCACCACAATCTCAGCCCTCACGAGTCCTCCCCTGGACACAGCAGCCTCACATGCTGCTCTGCTCCAGGTTACCTGTGGCAGCTGGGGTCTTCTCTCCTGAATGCTGTATTTCACCCAGGCCATGACCGCGTTGAAAACCTGCTCCTCACTGCGAACGTTTAACTCGTCACTGGATATAATGTCTATGAGCTGGTTGGCAGGCAGCAGCATGAATTCCTCGCTCTCCATTACCTGGTTAAGCAGAAAGGAGTAAAGAAAAACCTAAGATCAGTGGTCAAAGCACCAGAATCATTTGCGACTCCTGCACTTCAATGCAAGGCTAAAGGAGAGAGGGGTTGCTCGAGTCAGAGCCCCGTGGATGGATCCCACAAAGTGCCGAATACCCACAAGTGTTACAGACACCAGCCAGAGCGAAGGGTTCACTGCACAGAGCTGAACACAGTCCCCAACAAAGCAAAAATCACCTTTAGATGGCGATGCGAGTGAAAGGAAAATTTTATATAAAGTTCTGCAGATTGCTTTTGAAGGGTTAAGCCACAGGATGCATTGATCAGGTTTCAAAACTTAGGAAAAACAAAGCCCTTATTTCAACCCAGCCTCCTCATTTGCCATGTGTAATACATAAAGCAGAAATAAAAATGTGAGGCAGACGGTAAATATTCGACAGAAAAACAGTATCAGAATAGAGAGGCTTTATTCATAATGAGTCCAAACAGAGCACAAAAAATAACAAATCTCAGAAATAAGTTACCAGAGGCATTGTAGAGAATATGGAAAGATCTTCCCGAATGCTGATTTGTAGCAGAACAGCAACGATTTCAGGACAAGGAGATGGACTCATTTGATCCTGTCTCCCTTTCACTTGCTCTAAATATATACTGAGAGGATGCACGAGCCCAAACACACCTAAATGGGAATCAGAGGCTGCTAAAGCCCCAAGGAGCGATCTCTTGTGAAATCCAAGGCACTGACAATCTGCAAACATGTTAATTCCTTCGGTACCCCAGAGAGCAGCCGCGCTCCTCGGGAGGCCGCAGCTGCCGCTAGAGGACCCTCCGCTCATCCAACCCGGCACAAACTCCCCGTGCCGGGCTCAGCCCGGAGCCCCCGGTGACCCAGCCCTGCCTCACGGCCACGTCCCGGGCACAGGGCCGAGGAGCAGCGAGGGAAGGGAGCTGCAGAAGCGGCTGCACTGCCCATTCCCAGCGCAACCTCCCCGCAAGCGCTCCCAGGCTGCAGCCTGGAAGCTCGTGCAGCCTCAGGGACGGAAAAACACCCAATATCGGCCTTTCCCTTCATTTGCAACCACATTACCATTCTGCGACCTATTTTAGGATATGAAGCATGAACAAAAGAGAAATCCATTCTCTTTAATACTGTCGTCTCAACAAGAATCAGCTGCGTGGTCCTTTTGATTACTTCAAGAACTGATTCAAGAACACTGAATGAATATGCAAAAAATAGCCAAGCTGCTGACAACAGCAAATACTGCTAAAAGGAAACTCAAGGAAATAAGGTCAGTTACCAGGCTTTTTTTCCAGGATCCTATGGGCTGCCAGGGAGCAGCAAGAGTCACAACAGAGTCATCTCAGACACTTTCTCAGTCTTTGAGCTCAAACTGAGATGGCCACAAGGACCCATATCAGCATTTTGCAGAGTCTTCCTCGCTTTTACATAGACCAGCTTATGTCTAAATCTTACCTTGATGGTTTGTAAATGCATCCCCAGATATAAAAATAGGGGTTCAGGATACAACACAACTTACACCCTCACAAAACACGGTCGTACCTCACTGAACTCAAGACACTGCCAGCACTTCTGCAAATCCAGTCTTTGCTGCTATGCATCTTGTTAGTTTACACAGTAAAATAAACACTTTTAAACATTCAGTCTTATTTTTGGCTTAATTATCAGGACATTAAAAACTATTTGACTAATATTAACAGTCTGATATTTACTTGCTAGAAGCTCACAGCAGTAAACAAAAATGAGATGGCCTTCATTTGTTTTTATATGCACTGAACAAAATCAGAAAAAATACAGCATTGTTGATTACTGCATTTACAAAGAGATAGAAAAAATGTAAGAGAATATGGAACACAATCTTTGCCTACTGAAACAGCGCGAGTTGTTCTATTTTTTCACTTCACACAGATGTCAGAGATCAAGCAAAAAATATGAAGGCTTTTTTTTTGCACAGCAGAACCGTTTCGCATTCATATTCACTAGGGCTTTTAGGCAATAAATTAAACTGAGGGGAATGGAAGACTTGGAGAAACATTTTACCAAGGAGTTAATGACGTAATGCAGCAATACACATAAAAACTAATAGTACTGGAGGTTAGCGCAGCAGAGGACACGCAGCAATTTAGACTGCATTCAAAGTAACTGCATGGATTGGCATGATGCCGAATGCTTAATATTTTACATTGCCAACCAGGAGATTCCCATTTCCTGCTTCTTTTCCTTTTGGCCAGCTTGGAGGGGTTACGGTCTCTGCAGAGAAGCGAACGTTCTGTATTCGTTTTTAACCTCCACGTGGACGGACACAAAAAGCTAAACACCACCTTCCAAGCAGGGAAGGCTCCAGTCTAACCTATTCCTTTCTGGAGGCCACGATTTAGTTAAGTAAATTATAATCTGTACCATCTCTGAGGGAAAGTGTTCTCTAGAGCCCAGAAGTTTTGCCTGCACGTGCCTTCACGGGAATGAGGAAGATGGGAAGCTGCCTTTGATGGACTGCAAAAGAAAAGAACCCCCACAACAAGCAGCTCTTAACAGTTCCAGATTCCAGCTGCGTGTATTAGTACTAAAACACTAAAATGCAGAATTGTTGGGCTGTAAAAGTTATTTAGAGACTCATAAGCATGCCCTGCTTATGTAATAATGAGAAGAACTAGCTCTAACCATTAAAACCACCAAGCACTGAAAATAAGCGACCATCTGGTTACCATCCTGCTCCCCCTAAAATAAATGCAGAAGAAATGTAGAGCAAGCAGAGCACACATGAAATGGTGGCTAAAATGTTGGGTTGAATGTTGGGCTTTTGGGAAATCACCAAGCTCTGCAAAAAAACAAGCTCTCAACTTACACAGCGAAGTCATTTTTTTCTAGTCTTTATGATTGGGAAAGCCACATTTACTGCAAATTTACCAGTATGCTGATGTCATGTGTCTACAGTTAAATACCAGGTACTGTCTTCAGTGCATCCAGTAGTCAAGTTCAATGGTGTTTGCTTCTTCCTGTGATTTAATTAAGTACTACCTGACTGAAATTAATACAATTTCAGTCCCTTCCCTGTGTAAACTTCAATCACAGCATTAATGTGCTGCCACTTCTTTGAGGAAACTAAATAATCAGAAGTGGATTCTGGAGCTGTCTCCCTTTGAAAAAGGCCTGTAACAGGAAGAGAGATTTCTCTGCAGCAGCCTACCCAGGATAGGGATAGAAAAGTGCAGAGTCTAGGGAAGAAAAGAAACAAATCTCTCAGCTAGGGAAACAGACCTTCATGCTTACAGTGCTTCTTCGAGAGAGCAGCTGTCTCCAAAACACATGTATGTTCTTGCCCTCTCAACCAGGGCTCAGGAATGAACCGCTTTAAGATTTTGGGTTTTTTTCTGTAGCTTGGTGCAATGAAAACCCCTCTCATCCATCTGAGTACTGTTCATACAATCCCACGCTATTATACAGATTCTTTTCTGATTTGTAGCTGGCAATTTTCCACATACACAATACCAAACATCAACTAGTGCCAGCGGCCCTGCCTTCCATACAGGATTCACAGCGGAACTCCGAATAAGAGAAATGCTACAGATCATGAACAAAAATATCATGCTTCAAGTACCTCTCCTCTCTGTTCCCCAGCTAACAGTTGGCACCCTAGGAGATGCAGCAGAGAGTAGGGTAGGGTTTGGAAGGAAAGGCAAAACAAGAGGTGGGCAAGGCTCTCACAGGGCACATTCACAGGATGTTTTTCACCTAATCCAGTATACTAGTGCCTTACCTCCTGGAAGTTATGCTGTGTGAACTTGTCCGCAATCCTCAGCAGCTCTCGGCACGAGTGGGTGTCAGCAAAAGCTCGGATGCCCAGGCAATTGGAAGGGTCCAGCTGTCTTTTAAGGAACTCGCAGCAGGCCTCCTGGATCTCAGCCAGCTGCAGAAGGCAGGCAGCTGGGAGCAAGGTCTGGACATTGCCCTCCTCGACGGTGATCTGCGAGGTGTACGCGAAGTCGATGAGCAGCTCCATGGCCCTCTCGTCGATGTCCCTGATCACGACCTCCGTCTGGCGGCTCTCCGCGAGCTCCCCGGTGAACATGGCTCGGAAGTAGGGGCTGCAGGCTGACAGAATCACCCGGTGCGCGTAGATCTTCTTGGCGCCGACTACGAGCACCACATCGCAGAGCTCCCGGTGCTTCCGCAGGAGATTGATCACTTCCAGGGTTTGCCGAGGGTGCTTGTCGGAGATGTAGGGCATGCGGGCAGGCTGCGGCACCCCCTCCGGCAGCTTGTTGGGATCTCCAAGGGTGCAACGGCTCGTCACGTCCATTCCGGTCTCTCCTGGGCGAGTACTAGTGCACCTGCAACGGAGCAAGCCGTGAGGCAGGAGCAGCATCCCCACGTCTATCTCTAAACACCATCCCCAGCTCGTGTCACTTAGGAGCACAACGGAGCGGTGAACCCAGCGTGAGCTAGAAGGTGGAAACAAACACGTGACCCCACGAAAAAAGAATCTGCCTCAACCCAAAGTGTCCTTAGAAATAAACAAAGGCCAAATGAAACAGGCTTGTATTTATACCTATTTCTATATGCTTTCTATGACACACTGCTGTAATATTCCAATTGCACATACATATTTATTAACTGAACCTCATTATTAGTTAGAAAGACATTATCCTCATTTCAGAGATAGTGAGTCAAAGCAGAGATGATGAACTGACTTGCCCAGTGTCATGACGGTTTTTTTCTTTATTTTTTTCCTGCCACCATAAAGTGTAATTCTAGTTATCTGCTTTAACTAAACTTATCTGTTCTTCCACCTACCTTTTCGACAGGGCCACTCAACACAGTGATACCTGAACACAGCAAACTGCCACGCAGACTTTATAAGTGAAAAGTGCCCTGCAGCTTACCACAAATATATTTCAGGTTCACAGATCATTCATTTAATCATTACCTCTTCAGATATTTCGAGTTATGGGCACTTCTGACAAAATCCACCTTCCTCACCATGCTTCAAAAGAAGTTTAATCTTTCCCAGGAACGGCGGGCTAAGAACTACAGAATGCAATCAGGATTATTAGACCAGCCAGGGAAAAAAGTCAAAACAATCAAGGCATTTCCAACTGTTAGGCTGCCACAAAAGGAAGAAAATACAGTTAAGATGATAACTTCAGAATACGAGACACGTAAACTAAGCCTCCAGCAGAGTACGGAAAACATACTGCACTCACAACTCCAAGTGCAAAGTTGCAACTATTTGCTGTCCCCCTCTAAGACTTTGGGTACCTTTCCTTTACTCCCCAGACCTCACTTTGCAAAAAAACTGAGCTCAGTACTAAGCAAAAAGAATTAAACTTAGTTCTGCATTGGGCAATCAGGCTGATTTTGTAGGTATCAGCACACATTTAATTGAGATGCCATTTTGGATAGCTGGGGCATCTTTGAATTTTTGGCAAATACTACATGCACAATTATAAGAATATGCACTATCATCAGTGAGATTTCAATTACTACGAAAATAATATAAAAACAGGAAATTCTTGCCTATATTAACTCCGAAGAGAAAACACTACCTAGGTCAACTAAAGCACACAGAGCAAAGTGTCAGAATATTGATGGTTACAAATTATCCGGTGAACGCACTGGTGCTTGGAGAGACTCTGAAAACCTCATGTTACCCATTCCAACCTTTTTGTTATACACTGGCATTTGTGAGCTGTCACTAGCTCGCTTTGCCCATATTAAGAGTTAAAAAGATACCCACCTTCACTTTGCCATTGCTCAAAACATTTTGCAGCATGCTTGAAGGAAAGGATTGAAAAATAACTCACATCCTCTCCTCTCATTATTATGTCAAATGCACCTTCTAACCACAGGGAAACCAGGCTGTTGCTGCAGTTCAGATTATTCACTTGCATCCTAGACTGTTTGCCCATTCCCCCCCACACCCTGCCCTTGATCATCAAATTCAGATGTTTCAGACCATTACCTTTTCCTCATATCTTGGCTCCACAGATCCAGCTAGTTCTCCCCTCTGGGTTTTGCTGTTTGCTCCAGTTCAGCCTCTATATGTTAAATACCTTGTTTTTTATCCCTACGCTATCCTTTTTAGATCCATCACTGTTCTCCTTTCCTGACAGCCCTGACAAATCCTTTTGCTGTGATACTGCCTCTCATGCTCCTCTCCTATGCCCACTTTTCCTTCACAACTCAAATCCACCTTGTGAGGCTCAACAGTCTTTTTCAAAGAAATGCTAAATTCCCCACCACGTGGGTAAATTCTCCTTACAATAATGCATGCAAACTAGGTTCAATGGTGCCCCCACAAAAGTCCAAGAAATCTTGGCTAAAGATTAATTAACCTGCCTAACTGGTTTACTTTCATATTCCTTAGCAGCTTCGGCTACAGGGTAATTTAATCCCTCTGCAAAGAGAAGAAGAAAGGGACTCAAAACGTGGGGAAAAAAAAATCCCCTTGTACAAAGTCTAGTTTCTGCTAAGCAAGCCAAATAGCTTTAAACCCCTAAAGCACAATAAAATCTACGTCAAACCCCTAAGAAAGAAAAAATTAGCCATGAGCAAGACGCATGCTACTATAATTCCATCATGACCAGACCCTCTTTCAAAGCATCTTCTAAGCAGGACACAGGCATCCTTCAAACAAAACAAAACAAACAAACAAACAAAAACCATTTCATGCAATTACCGCTCACAAAGGAGGCTCTATTTCCCCCCCCCCTTTTTTTTTTTTTTTTTGAAAACAGGACCCTTAAAGAAATTCTAGACTTTCCTCAAACATAAAATACCTGCTAAAAGTAGCCTTAAAGCTGCTCAGGAGCTCTTGGAGTGCCACAGATTCTGCCTATAAAACAGGTTAAAAACTATGAAAAAAAAAAAACACACACAAGAAATGTGGTGCACCTTGCCAACCCCACCATGCAGAAGTCTTGGTTGACAGTGAGAGCTAAGTAATAGACTGACTTTAGGATATGTGGTTACTTGGCTGGATTTGGGTAATAGAAATCCTTGTCCTTTCCTAATTAATCCTTTCCTAGCTAGGACAAAACAGGATTTTCTCCTCAAATTAGGGTCCATTGAACTTTTCTATAAATAAACTAATTGAAAAGGGGC